ATTTATGAAAAAGGCTTTCATATCCCATGTGTTGCCATGAAGTTTTGAAGTTTTCCTGATGTGGAATTTCCAGTTGTACAATTCCTACCTGTTTTGGGGTATATTTATGTGTGCACAGTCTCTTTTTTGTTACTGAGTTCTATGAGATGTATAGCATAACTCTTTCCTGCCGTGCAGGTCGGGAAGTTGGTGCTGTGGCAGAAATGTTGTCAAATGTTCACTGCATTCTTTATGAAATTGTGTTTTGTTTCCACCTTTGAGACTGGTTATAACTCACAAACGACAGTTGAGTCAGTATCAGTTGGGGGAGTAAAAGCCTCATATGTGGGAAGAGATGCCTAACTCAGACATTAGGCATGGGAAGTCAGCTGGGTTCAGTGTAGGTGTAGGTATAGGTATCAAGCACTTAGTGATGGAAGAGCCACAGCCCTTGATTTTGACCAACAGATACAAGCTGTTTGCTACCTGTAAAGACGAGTGAAAGAACTGCAAGATTGATTAGCCAAATGGCCATGTCATTAAGATGCAAGATGCGATTCAAGAGGTGGAGTGACGAGGTAGTGATAGGAAAAAGTATGTTCAGAGTATATACACTGTTCTTCATTGTGATTGGAAGTTCCAAAGGATGAGTTGCCTGTGAGATGCCAGGGTCAGGGACATCTCCTAACAGCTGAACATGAACTCCCAAGTGGTGGAGCAGGATCTGGTTGTTGTGGTCCACATACGAATCAGCAGCATAGATACAATGAGGATTGATGTTCTGCTGAGAGTGCTTGAGGAGTTAAAGGTCAAATTAAAATGCAGAAGCTCAAGGGTGAGAATTTGTACATTGTTACCTGAGCCACTGTCATTTGTAGAGAGTCCAACTGAATAGAGAATTAAATACCTGGTTCAAAGAGTGACGTGAGATTGATAGGGACCACACCTTAAGAAAGTAGGAGCTATTCCACTGGGTTAGGCTCCACTTAAACCATGCTGGCATTATCAGATCAGCTGGGATTTCATAGAATGGCAGAGCAGACTTGATGGGCTGAATGGTCTTCTTCTGCTCGTACCGCTAATGTCTTATGGCTAGAATCAGTGTCCTTAATAAATCATAACAAGGCTGGTGAGTAGGTCTTTAAACTAAAAGGGACGGGTGGAATAAGTTCGGGTGAGGAGAGATTTAGAAATCTAAAGATAAAATTGGAGAGAATAAAATGGTGTAGCAGTTTGGGTAAGGACAAGTACTGTAGCACAGGAATGAACAGAGAGAATAATTGCGATAATGCAGCAATGTGTAAAGATTCGCAAAAAGTAGTTTAAAAAAATCTTAAAGAGATAGCAAGAACTGCAGATGCTGGAATCAGAGATAACAAAGTATGGAGCTGGAGGAACAAAATCAGCTTTCCTGTTCCTCTGATGCTGCCTGGCCTGCTGTGTTCCTCCAGCTCCACACTTTGTTATCTTTAAAAAATCTACACAACTCTGTCTGATTATCCAAAACATTCACCATCAGGTATTTGCACTAATGGTACAAATAGAGATTTATAGTTTTCATTTAATTACAATTACAGAGATATCGTTACATGGTGACCAAGATTGGGAAAATAATTATTCTAGGATACATAAATTCAGACAGAATGCTAAGAACGAGTAGGAACCCCGAATACAAAGGATTATATTAAAGACAATAGTGAATTGTTGCTTAGACGTTCAGTATGTAGAGTCCATATGGCTAAATATTAGGAATAACAAGAATCATAAAATACTGTTGGGAACAGTTTATAGACTCCTAATGGTAGTTATACTGTTAGACAGAACATTGAGCAGGAAATAATTGGGGTTTGTTACAAAGGCAATATAATAATTGTAGAAGACCTTAATCTTTGTATACACTGGACCAATCAAATTGGCAAAAGTGGTCTGGAGGATAAATTTGCAGAACACTTTTGTGAAAGTGTCCTGGAACAATATGGTTTGGAACCAACTAGATATAAAGGTATTGTGCAATGAAGTAAAAGATCATAGTAAATAATCCTCTTGGAAAAAGTAATCATAATGCAGTTGAATTCCATATTAAGTTTGAAAGTGACCAACTTCAGTCCCAAACAACGATATTAAATGTAGTCATTTGTATTAGATTTGACGGAAGAGCTAGCTAACCTTTATAGGGTAAGTGAACTAAAATAAACAGTGAGAAATACTGAAAGGAACAACTAACATGGTTCAACAAAAATACATTCCACTGAATAACAAAAAAATCAGCAAGAAAACCCATATGTAGCTGTTTAAGGATTGTATTTTAAAATGCAAAAAAATGCCAAAATTTGATTAAAAATTGAGTAAACTAGCCATGAAAAAAAAACTGCAAGAGCTTTTATAACTGTATGAAAAAGAGATGTGGCTAAAAGTAACATTTTTCCCTTTGAGGCAGTGAAAGAAGAAATTACTACATGTAATGAGGAAATGATGGAGAAAATAAAAAATCTTTAGGAGTCATTATCCCCTCCCTAAAGATGGCAAGGAAGGTACCCAAAAGAGCAGAAAGTTTGGTGTGTTTATCATAAAGAGATACTCATCCCTTTCTCACCATCTCATCATCTCAACAATTAACTGCTGGGCAAAAGTTCTATTCTGGACCTTGTGAACTTGCCATAAGACCATAAGACATAGGAGCAGAAATTAGGCCATTCGGCCCATCGAGTATGCTCCGCCATTCAATCATGGCTGATAAGTTCCTCAACCCCATTCTCCTGCTTTCTCCCCGTAACCCTTGATCCCCTTGATAATCAAGAACCTATCTCTCTCAGTCTTAAAAGTGCTCAATGACCTGGCCTCCATAGCCTTCTATGGCAGTGAATTCCATAGATTCATCACTCTCTGGCTGAAGAAGTTGCCACCAATTAAGACCCTTACGCAGGTAATGATCAGCACTATAAGGGGCTCAGCTCACCACCAGCTTGGTTACCTGCATTCCTGCATGCAAAAAAAGGATAACATGCCCGCCAGGCTGTGGGGGTGGGGAGAAGGGAGTTGTGCTCCACTTGTTCTAACCAAGGCCAATCAGAGGTTGGGACAGAATATGGGAGAGCTGCTACTGACTCTGTCTTCCTGAGGTCTCCACTTCATGAGAGCTGACAGAAAACAATCTACCATCTTGCTGTTGAATCTGCTGAAGTCTAGGCCTCCAGCAATAATCCCTATGACCCAGATGCTTCCATCAAGTTGGGATGTCACTGTCAAGACCATTGATTTGCCATGAAAATTGGCTGGTCAGCTCTTAAAATTGTTTGAATAGAGCTTGACCTAATGAGCTTTCTCGCTGGTAAGGATGGGAAATCAGGAATCGTTGAAGCTGACCAATCCCCACAAAATGCATCGAGCATTAAATCTCAGCCTTTTTGGCTACCTTCATTAGAAGAAGGGACAAATTTCATACCAGAAATGGAGGATAACCAAGGGCTAATATGCAGGAGGAACTTAAGATACTTAATTTCTGCAGACAAAAAAAGAGAAATTTATAGAACTAGAATCTGACAAATCCCCACATCCAGAATGCTTAGGTGCTCATGTCCTGAAGGATGTAGCTGCAGTGATAATGAATGCCTTGGTTACGATTTTACAAAATTCTCTAGATTCTAGTGACCAGTGGAGCATCACAAAGATCAGTGTTAGTGCCTTAGCTATTTAAAACCTATATTAATACTTGGATAATACAAACTGATGGGGATGTGAACTATGAGGAGAACTAAAAGAAGCTGCAAAGAGATGTAGGCAGGTTGAGTGTTTGGACAGCAGTGTAATGTTGGGATGTGTGAGGCAAACACATTGAATGTGTTTACTGATTTTTATTTTTTGGAGGTGATCACTACTGCACCTTCACAAATCAGAAATAAGATATGCATGTGGCAATAAATTTATCAAGAATGAGAACATGAATATCTATGAACACTTTAGCTTTAGTGGTTAACCAATGTTGCCTCACTCTGTAAATTTCACATGATCAACTTTGTTTCCCATTTAGGAAGCATAGAGAATATTTTATATGCAGTTTTGAAAGTTCATGGTGAATGATTACGTTAAAATATATTTATATTAAGTGGGGTAGTGCAATTTTATTACTGATTTAGGATTGCATTCCATGGTTCAGTCTGTTCTTTTCCATGCAAATAGAAAACCAATGGTCATGCCTACATTTTATGATTATAATCAGCATGAACAGTGATTGAATAAGTCAAATTAAGTTTTTATTTCATGGAATTCCAGGATATTTGCTGTTGTTTTGGGATCGGAGTATGCAAAATAAACAAACCAATCTCCATGGTAATTATTCTAAATGGAAGGCTAGAACTACTTTGAACTCTAAATATAAATAATGACCAATTGAACTAAGTACTAAAGGTTAATACATACCATAACGCTTGCAAAGAGTCAACATTTGTAAGAATGGGGGTTGGGCGTGGAGGGGCAGAAGGAAAAACTGATTGAAAAATTAATCCTTTTTCTTCAAAGAGAGCAACTTAAGGATTTTATGCGATTTCCAACCTCACTCTAACAGAGCTCCTAGTATTCCTGCATTTTAGGCATGCATTTTAATGAATGGCCCATAACATGGAAAAGCCTTGAGCTAAAAACCTTGAGCTTAAGCTTTTGCAATATATTGGGTGCAATGAATAAGGATCTGATAATGAGGTGAAACTGGATTTACTTTAGCATGAATTTCCCATTTCAGAGCCAGTGCAATAAAATTACTTTTTGCGTATTGGGAAGCTAACTTGAACAGATAGGTTCTGCAAACATCATTTTATAGTGAATGAGGTTTTGCAGAATATGACAAATGCCAATGCTTCTAAAATTACAAGTTTAGAAATATGAAAATTGTGAAATATCCATGAATGAAGCATAACAATGAAAAATATATTTAAGTATTATTGTAATATTGTTTAATATTAGATTATGTTCCTAAATTTGCTCCAAACTTGATTTTTTTCTCATTTACTATTTTATGACCCTGACAGACCACCGCTCTTGATAAGGAGAGGCAGGTTTTCCGAAGAAGATGCAACCAGGATGTGAGGAGAAGCTACGTGGTACAAACTAATGCACCAGAACACAACTCTGAATCTGAAGATTACTCACCAAGCTCTTCTGAGACTGTTCGCTCACCAAATTCTCCCTTTTAATGAATCCTATTCTCGTTACCAAGCTCTAATTGCTTACTGCAATTTTATAAATCATTTCTTAAGAAATAATGAATGTTTAGTTAGTCAAGCTAGGACAATGTTGCACTGATATATGAACAGTATTGATTCTAGCATGGTTTAATGGACAAGCACAAGGCATGTGAAGGTGTAGGTGAATCCAGCTGCTTTGCAATTCAGCCATTGTCTGTATTCTTAACCATTTAGGCGCTGTGTTTTCCTTGCATCATAAAGCACATTAACGTTCTCTGTCTCTGACCATCTCTCTATATCAAGAAATCAGTTTGCTATGGTGCAAAAATGCTACTGTTGTTCAAAGGATTCTGAATTTCTGCAAAGTCAAAATATTTGCCAGTCTATGAATCCTGAATTCTACAATATAATCAGTGAGCATTGCATTTCCTTAAAGAACTTTACCTTTCTCTTGATTTTCAAATTAAGTTGTAGCAGTTTAAAAGAAAACAGTGCTATTGTAAATTATTAATAAGCAACCTGATTACTCCAAAATCTAGTATGACAAAACTCTGTTTGAACAGTACTTGACACAGAGCATAGAATGGTGAGATAGGTGACTAGGATCGTATCTGTGTGTACCATCAACAATCACTGAACAGCAGTATTGTATGATATTACAAATGAAGTAAAGCTCCACAGTTTGATATTTAGTTCATTAGAGAAGTAATAAAATTTATGTTAGAATACTTGTATCAACTGTGTAAAACATCCTTAAAGATGGAAAACTTTCACGTGGATAAACTTCTACAATTTTAAATAATTTCTTCTATGTCTCAGGCACCCAAACCTGGCATTAAGAAGATCTTTCCTACAGACTATTTTGTAGAAAGTGGTGAAAGTTAACTCATGTGAAATGTCATTGCTTTACAGTAGTCATCATGTGACTAAGTGTGGTGCATACTATAATAAATAAATAAGCCAAATCTGTGAATAAATGATTTATTGATAACCTTAATCATGCATGTTGGTTAATGTGTTGTTTCTTATTCATCAGTAGATGAAATTGCAAAGTATATTTCAGTTTTTATGACTTTGATTGTATTATTGTAGGATGTTCACTTACATATCTATTGAAGCTTTTTCTCACCTGATCACTTTTAGCATTAGAATGTGTTCGAGAACTCTTTTATTGTTTGTAAACTTTAATCTGTGAGCAGCACATTTGAATTACTAAAATAAAAGCAAAATCCTGTGATGCAGGAGGTCTGAGGTGAAACAAAGAGAAAGTACTGGAAAAACTCAGCAGGTCTGGCAACATCTGTGGGGAAAGAAACAAAGTTAATGTTTCACATCCAATATGATTCCTGAACTCAAGGAAAGTCATATTGGACTTGGAATTAGATATTAGATTCTGTGCTGTAACCATTCTATTATTCAGTTTGAGCCTCAATGCCAGCAGTTATTCTTAGGGAGGGACAAGTTGCAAAATCAAAGGGCCTATACTGAAACAATCAGCTGCAATCAACTCAACTCAAAACAGCATCCCAGCTGAAATCTTCTTTGGACCACACATACACTGCAACACCTGCCAAATGCTTTGAGGTGCATAAGACAGTTTGGATCTTACTCAGGGAAATTAGCCTTATTTGAACTTCCACCGAGACATAAAATCCACCTCCCCCTTTGACTTTCCTTTTCATTATCAAAAATCACACGACACTAGCTTATAGTCCAACAAGTTTATTTGAAAACACTAGCTTTCAAAGTGTTGCTCCTTCCACTATTAAACCTGTTGGACTATAACCTGGTATCATGTGATTTTTGACCTTGTCCAACCCAGTCCAACACCAGCACCTCCACATCATTCCTTCCCATTGTTAGTAATGGAAAATGGATGGCTTCTACAATGACCAGTTCATAATTTCTGATGTCAGATCTCAAATGTTGGGTGAAATGCTATTTAAAAATACAGACAAGATACAGGTAAAGATGCTCTGAGAGAATACTAGAGAAACCTTTGGCTAAAACAAAAGTGGCAATCTAACAGAGAGGAATTCTTTAAGTTGAGTAGAGAAAAAAAACTGGTCTGTGAATCAGTAACTACAGGACACTATTTTAAAATTGTTACCCAAACAATGAAGGCAGGTGTGAGGAGACATCTTTTCATACAGTGTAATAAAATATAAAAGCAAATGTAAAATGATATTCCAGAAATATTGGTGAAGCAGAAGTCAAAAAAACAAGTGGCTAAATATTCAAAAAACGAAAAATATATAAATGCCAAGGGAAAGATCAAGAAAATGAAAGAAAGTGAATAGCTCTTGCAGAGAGCTGGCACAAACACAATGTAATTATTTATCAGTCTACTTCCATCAAACTAAATGATTCTGCTGAACTGCAGAGAGCATTCAGAAATCAGAATCTGTGAACTGTATATGTAAGTATCAAAGACAAATAATCCATGAGAATAAGTATATTTTGAGTTAAATAAATCAGTCAGCAAGATGAAAATCTTTAACTTGTTTACTACCAGCTGTCTAACTGAGCAGTAATGAACACAGCACAGCAGCTGGAGATAGAGAATGCTAGGACTCAAACAGGCAAACTGTCGTGAAGTCAATAGACTCGTGTATGATTTTTACAGATGTTGGTGACTAATTCCCTCTGCACATTTCAAAGTAGATTTACTAACTATTGATAAATTGTTACTTATTATTTCTCGGAAAAGTATTCATTTCTGAAGCTAATTTTTAAAAAAATTAAAATCATAGGAAATGAGGAAGTAGAATTAACTCACTGATATTTCTAAGAAAGGACTTAGACCTACCTTGGCTTCAAGAGTTATTTAATCTCCAAAGAAAAAGGATCAATAAAAGGTAAAAGTTTCAAGCATATAAATGTATGAGATTATTCCATAAACACCAAAAGGTATTAAAGTAAAACCGTTTATCCATCTCACATTCCAAGCTGGATCATTTAAACCTTACCATTCACATTCCAAAGATGAAAATTCTATGGTGCCCTAAATGTTACTTCATTTTAAGTATATATGCAATTATAACCTTAAACATCCTTCCCTATTCTCAAGTAAATTTTCAATAAACAATTTGACATTATCAATTAATGGTGACATTAACATTATAAACTTAATTAAAATGTCTACTATTCCATAAATGTTTTCTGTTTCTGTTTTTTCTTAAATACAAGGGTTTTATTAACGTAGTTGAACAAAGATAATTGGAGAAAATATCATATTAAGAGTGTTGGGAGGGGCAAATGGAGCAAAATGTTGAATTAACAGCTGTAAGCACTATTTCCCAACGCTTCTATGGCATTAGCAGTTTTGGGACTTCCATCTTGACTTCTGTAGCAAAAGTATACAATCTAAGTTGTTGGAATTCTGTGTAAACGGTGAGTCGCATGTTCAAGATCAGACAGGAAGAAATGTTTTGACTTTGCAGACACTTGGGTTTTATAATGCTGAGTTAAATTAATTATATGATAAGAAAACATTTAAGCAGAGGTGGTTGGGGATCAACAATTTCCACTGTCTATTTATTCAAGTTTTCACACACAAAATCAGTAATTCTTCCCACTGAGCGCCTCAAACTGAAACCAAGTCTGGCTATTTAAATAAATCATGGTCATATCAAAATACTGAAATAATGGTATTGTTAAAGATGACCCTGGTTCTCTGCAATGGCTTAATTTATTGTAAAAGTGGTCATGATATTTAAGTTCTTTCTTTGAAGTCAATAATGTTACACTAGTAATTTCTCTGTGTATTTACTTATGCTCCCACCATATTTTTGGCACCTTAGGAGGTTGAAAAGCAACCTGAGAAAAGTTTATAAAATAATGAGAGGTATAGGTGGAGTTAATGGTGGTTGTCATTTCCCTAGGATAGGGGATTTCAAGACTAGGGGGCACATTTTTAAGGTGAGGAGAGAGATTTTAAAAAGACACAAGAGGCAAATTTTTTACACAGAGGGTGGTTCGTGTGTGGAATGAACTTCCTGAGGAGTTGGTACAATTACAGTGTATGTGGGTACACTTACAATGTTCAAAAGACATTTGGATAAGTACATGAGTAGAAAAGGTTTGAAGGGCTATGAGCCAGGAGCAGACAGGTGGGACTAGATTAGTTTGGAATTCTGTTCAGCATGGACTGGTTGGACCCTGCTGTATGACTCTATGAGGGGCATGGATAGGGTAAATAGATAAGGTCTTTTCCTTGGGTTGGGAAGTCCAAAACTAGAGGGGATAGGGTTAAGGTGAGAGGGGAAAGATTTAAAAGGGACCTGAGGGGCAACTTTTTCATTCGGAGGATGGTGCGTGTATGGAATGAGCTGCCAGAGGAAGTGGTGGAAGCTGGGACAATGACAACATTTAAAAGGCATCTGGGTGAATAAATGAATAGGAAAGGTTTAGAGGGATATGGGCCAAATGCTGGCAAAAAGGACTAGATTTATCTAGGATATTTGGTCGACACGGATGAGTTAGACCGAGAGGTCTGTTTCTGTGCTGTATGTCTCTGTGAGAATGGTGCAGTTCAAGTGTTGAATTAAATGCCCCTCCCACGGCAGACTGGGAGCAAGGGTGTTTGTGGTTGTGTAGGGTGCGGGGGCTGGAGAGGGGGCTGGTTGATGCATATAATGGGGTAGAAAAGGTGTGGATTTAAGAGTCCTCTTACTTTCCCAATTCCACAATTAATTTCAGGCTGAGAAGGGTCAACAACAGCCTCCTTGCCTGTTTAACAGTCTCCTTCCACCACCATTGATATTTCCTCTCAGGCATCAAATGCCTAAAGGCGTGATCCACTGTTGGCAAGGGAGGAACTCACTGGAAGCCATGCTGGCCTTTTTAGACATTCCCTGCCACCTCCTTACCCACCCTACTCACATGTCCTCCAATGCACAGGACTGAAAAAGTAATTCAACAGTTATGAGTTCAATCCTGTAATGGCTAGATTTGAAATTGCATTCAAGTAACCTGAAAGTCTGCAAATTATTTCTACAAAAATAACCATAAAACCATTAGCTAATCTTAAGGGTCCATTAATACTCATTAAAATTCTTCAGAGAAGGCAACACCACCGTACGTATGACTGCAATCACGTTAAATTGTTTACGCTTAAAGCACTCAGAAATGGTTTGGCAAACGTTGCTGAGGTTGTGCACTGAACAACAAGCCCCCACTATTCCCAGAGTCAAAGCTTTAAAATGCATACAAAATTCCTGAATTTACGTATCTTTTAGACTCAGGTTGACAAAAAGCATGGACCTGCAGTTAACAAACATGACTCTTCATCACAAGTAATTAGATCTAGTGACGGGTAAACAGTTCCTAACCATTAGCATGTAACTTTACTGATTAAACCTTACACTCTCTCTTTTACCCAGATACATACAGACAACTTATACACATACACACATACAGTGTGATGGAAAGGAGGAAAGATTGGGAAGACTGCTCAAAGGTTCCTGTGGTGATTCATACGATTGATGTGCTGGTCAGAATGCCACTTCTCAGCCATCCTTCTCTAGATTCTTCCACAGGTTTGCAAGAGGCACAGGGTGACTGTATCAATTATAAAAGCTCTCTGACCTACTAATTAAATGTCACAGTTTACTGCAATTGCTGAAGGAAAGATAAACTGGGTTTCTTCATGCTTATAGTGGCTTTTACTGCAGAGAATGGAGAAAGCGCCTGAGCTGGTGGAGATCTGATTACTATTCTACATCTTTTTCATAGCCCCAAGCTGTTGACGACCAAATCCCCAAAATCACCCTGCATCACCTCTGTGCTGTGCATTCACTCACTAGTGACATCTCATCATTTTTCTCCCACTTGAGCCAACACTATGGCTGTGCCTTCTACTTTCATCTGACATTATCTCTTCATTCCTTTCATTCCTGAAGAAATAGCCCACAACAGGGTAAAAAGAGCCAGGATGGATCATGGGATACCCAAAATTCAGTTCTTCGTCTGCTATGAGGAGAGGGTCATGACCCT